GTCGAATCGAATCGGAATCGGAAGCCATCGAAATCGAATCGAATCGAATCGGAGGAGTCGAAACGAGCCCTGCCTCTCAGATGGCCATCCCAAGACAGCCCCACGGCCTCCCGCAGGCTCCAGGACCCCCCAAAGATGCCCCAGGAGGCCACGGCAGTCCTCCTCCCGAAGAGGCCTCCGGCGGAACACGATCCAGACACGACTGAGGCTATCGCAGCACGGCGCCTGAATATCGGGAGCGGCCAAGAGGGGGGTGTCCAAGAGGGGGGGTGCAAATCATGACCGGCGGCATGTGCGCGGCCCAGCGGGGGGGCCAGGGACGTAATGAAATAAGAAGAGGCGCCATGAGATCCGGGGAAATATCATGGCCCCCGCCATGATATCCACCCCCCCCTAGCCATCACCCCCCTCTTTGCCGCCCCCGAGAATAGCAAGATGCGGACACGCTCCTGAGAGGCTCTCCGAAGCTCCTGGGAGGCTGCTGGGATGCCCCCGACGGGGTCGTGAGAGGTTCCCGAAACAGGGCCCTGGGGGCCGAGAGACGGTCTTGCGAGGATCCTGCGGGGGCTCTGCGAGGGCCCCGAAAAGGTACTGAAAGGCTCTTGAGAGTCCCGTTGTAAGGGTCCTGGGGGGGTGTTGAGACGCTATTGGGGGGCTCTTGCCAAGTTAGTGGGCAGGTTCTGGGTCCTGAGAGCCACTGAGAGGCTCCTGACAAGGTCCTGATCTGGTGCTGAGAAGGCGCCTGAACGACCGAACGAACGAACCACCACTGTGGACAGCTGTCCGGGCCTGCTCGAGACCTGGCGGAGGAGGCCGTGGCCTCTTCAAACCTGTACGTATGGACTACACGCGATCATGCATATGGACAGCGAGACAATACAAAACAAATCTGCGACGGAGGAGGGGAGGAGGGACGTCCTGGATGTGGATGTCGGCGTAACGTCGCTACGCGGGGTGTGCGTATTGCCGCTCGAGTGGCAGCGACTGAGCCCTGATGGTGGCGCAGAGGGCTCCTGAGATGGCAGCGACTGCGCCCTGATATTGGGGCAGGTAGTCCTCCCTCCTCCTCCCTCCTCCTCCCTCCTCCTCCCTCCTCCTCCCTCCTCCTCCTCCTCCTCCCCCTCCTCCCTCCTGTGACGTACCCAACCCACTTGCACCCATTGACAAGAGGAGTTCACACGTGCCCCAAACTTGCCAACACATTCGCGGTGCAGGCGCCGTTGTGTGTTGTGCAATCTGCATGGGCTGCGCTCGCGCGGCACGACTCGCGGGGCAGCAGCATAAGGACGAGGAGCGAAGGCCCAAGCTTCAGGAGAACATGGGGGGGGAGTATCGGGGAGGATCGAGGGGAGGGGAACATCGGGAAGGACCGAGGGGAGGGGAGACTCGGGAAGGATCGAGGGGAGGGGAGGATATCGGGGAGGATCGAGGGGAGGGGAGGATATCGGGGAAGATCGAGGGGAGGGGAGAATATCGAGGAGGATCGAGGGGAGGGGAGGATCGGGGAGGATCGGAAGGAAGGGAGGATCGGGGAAGATCGAGGGGACCGAACCGCCAGCGCGGCAGCATCATAATGAAGGTGGCAAGGGGCAGAGGGCGACGACGAGGTGACGGGAGTAGACCGAAGCATGCTACTTTTGTTCGTAATGCGCTAAATATGCAGCGTTGCCTGCGTCATGCCACCGCGGCTATCGAAACGACTATTGGGCCTGCTGATAATTAGTGCAAGGAGCGAGCGAGGCCAAGCTCGCCCGCCAACTTTGCATCCTCCAGGGATGGCGAGGGCTCCTGGTGGCCCGCGTAAAACGCCACTCCGCTGGACCCCCCGACAACCCTCGAGCGTGGCGACCGTTTCGCAGACCGCAACCCATCAAGCATGGCGAGGTCAACTCTGAATCTGGGTAAAAAGTCACTCCGCTGACCCAGATCGCAGTCCTCCACAGGGATGGCGAGGTCTCACCTGAATCTGGGTAAGGTGTCATTCCGCTGACCCCCCAACAGCCCTCGAAAGTGTCGACAATTTCGCAGATCACAATCCCCCACAAGGATTGCGAGGCCTAAACTGAATCTGGGTCAGACGTCAATTCATTAAACTTCAGCAACCCTCGAACATGGCGACAATTTCGCAACTCCACCCCAGAGATGGCGAGGCCTAATTTGAATCCGGGTAAGACGTCACTACCCCCTTACCAGCCCTCGAACTTGGTGGCCGCTTCTCAGATCGCAGCCCCCCAAAGATGGCGAGGTCTCATCTGAACCTGGGTAGGACGTCCCTCCGCTGGACCCCCCAACAGCCCTCGAAACTGGCGACAACTTCGCAAATCGCAGCCCCCTGGGTAAGACGTCGCCGCGCGGCGCCCCCCACCACCCCTCGAGAGTGGAGACAGTTTCGCAGATCGCCGCCCCCCCAAGGATGGCGAGGTCTCATTTGAATCTGGGTAAGACGTCACCCCTCTGGGCCCCCACCAGCCTTCGAAAGTTGCGAAGGTCTCGCAGATTACAGCCCCCCCCAGGGATGGCGAGGTCTCATCTGAATCTGGGTAAGACGTCACTCCGCTAGACCCCCCAGCAGCCCTCGAAGGTGGCGACAGTTTGGCAGATCCCACCCCCCCGCCGAGCATCCAGGCACGTTGATGGCAGGGTAGCGGAAAAATAGGATGACAGGAAGGGGGGGGGGCGGGAGAAAGTGTGCGACCGCCGCGATCACCGCTACTGAAGCATTACGTTGAACTTCCCATGGGGACACGGAGCGGGGGAGGGGTGTTCAGATATTGGCTGCCCGCATCTCGATGACTTCCCTATGGGGCCACAAACAAAAAGGCGGACTTACCGGCATTGGCGCGCGGAGGGCAAGGACGCACAAAGGACAGTGAATTACGGAAACACCCCATAAGGTCCGCGGGGACTAAACAGCGGACTGGAAAAAAAACTACTTCGCCAGGAGGTGGCAATTGAAAGGGCACTGATGAGGGACCGCCCCTGGTCTTCAGCGTGTCGAAAGTTCACCGTGCGCGCGTGCCACTCACCCACGCCTGCAACCACAACCACACGTTCCTACTGCAATCGTCGTGAGAAAATGATCACACATCTTCTCGCGTGAATGGTAGCCCACACTGGATTAGTGCCCGTGAAAACCACCGCCCAACATTATCCATCTTGCCCAACAATAAAGGGAACAAAAACTTCCCGCCGCGACGACGACGACAAGAACGACGACGACGATAACGACCACGAGGAGGACCAGGAGGAGGACGGGAGGAGGAGGATCAGGAGGAGGAGAAGCAGGATGATGAGGGTAGTTGGAGGAGGAGGAGCAGCAGCAGCAGGATAATCTATGGAGGAGGAGGGTCGATTTCGTTCCCCGCCGAGGGAAACAGGAGGGGGGGGACCAAAACTAAAGACCGATCGCGGTTACCTCGGCGTCCGCCGATATGACATTTGTCACTCCGCAACCGCAGGAGGTCCCGACCGTTATTTGGAAGCGGATAATCCACACTATTACTTTGAATGGGGCTATGTGCTAAGGAAACGAGCCTTTGAGTAAAGTGCTGTTGCTCTGTTGCGCGACAGCCGCGGCGGCGCGTCCGAATTGCCGAGCCACGTCCTGCGCTCGCGCCCTGAATTTCCTGTCGATGAGCATATACAACTTGCTGGAAACATGTCCAAGGACCGCCGCGACCTGATGCAACGCGACCCTGATTATTCGAGCAAGTGCATCGCGGTGAAAACTGACAAAAAAGACGGGAGCCCCCCGCCCCCCGACCGGGCCCTGGCCCCGTACCCACAGGGCTTTACTAAGGCAGACCGCAGCCATTACTAAAGCGAAAAAGCGGCTCCACTAAAACGAGAAAGCGCCTTAACTGGAGCGAGGGAGCGGCCTTACTAAAGCGAGAAAGCGGCTTCAGCAAAGGCGCGCCGCTCAATACATTCCCAAACAAAGCAAAAACCTTCCACTACAGCAATAAGGAGAACTTGAGTAAAGCGGAGAGACGGCTGGGGAAAAACTGCGCGCAAAAAGTTCGCTCCTCCCGTACAAATCTGGCGCGGGACTCCCGGAACGAGGGTGGGGCGCACCTTCGCCCGTGGGCCCGGGCCCTGCCGCCGCGACGTTCGTCCTCGCCGCCGCCGCCGCTGCCGCCGTCGTCATCGCCATTGGCGCCGACGCCGCCGCCGTCGTCGCCGTCGCCGTCGTCGCCGCGACGCCCGCGCATTCACGTTATTACCAGCGGCGGGTCGCGCGCGCCATTGCGCTCGAATTTCCGCTCCTCCGACGGGGGGCCAGGCGGACATCGTGTTTTTTCTGTCACCCAATGTTTAAAGCACTCGTGGGAAAATTACGCCTCTGAGCTTCCCTCGGGAATCCCGACCCTTCCCCAAGGCCGGCTTTTCATCCCGGGTCGAATTTTGACGGCCATGGGGCCGAAAATGGCCAAACACCTCGCGTCGTGTTTTTGACTGCGCGAGCTCCGGCACACTCCCTCGGCTGCGTTAGGACGCGGCGTGGGCCCGCACCGCTGCGACCAATAAAAGAGGCCTCCTAGATGGGCTCCGAGTAGATCGGGTCGAAGGATCGCGACGCATCGCCAGTGAGTCGTCGATGTATCGGCGATGCCGACCCTGTCCACTCGGGTCCCATTTAGGAGGCTCCGAAACAAATCGTCACCACGCGAGAAGGTCCGGGGCAAAACGATGCTGACCCCCTTCGGGAGCGGCCAAGAGGGGGGTGTCCAAGAGGGGGGGGTGCAAATCAAAACGGGGGTGTCCAAGAGGGGGGGTGTCCAAGAGGAGGAGTGTCCAAGAGGGGGCGTCCAAGAGGGGGGTGTCCAAGAGCGGCATGTGCGCGGCCCAGCGTGGGGCCAGGGACGTCATGAAATGAGAAGAGGCGCCATAAATCTGGGGAAATATCATGGCCCTCGCCATGATATCCACCCCCCCCTAGTCATCACCCCCTCTTCTCCGCCCCCGACCCCTCCGTGTCCTGGGAGCCACCCCGGTCCCACCCCCGGGGCGCTGCGCGCGAAGCGGATCATCACGCACTTCCCCTGGACCTGGCCAGGGCGCGGTGCGGGGCCGCCGCGGTAGGGCCATCGCGTGCCGCGGACGGGCAAGATGATGATGATGATGATGATGATGATGATGACGATGATGTTGATGATTACGATGATGATGATGATGATGATGATGATGATGATGATGATGATGATGATGATGATGATGATGATGATGATGATGATGTTGGCGATGACGATGACGATGGCGACGTCGATGACGACGGCGATGACAATGATGGCGATGACGATGACGACGACGATGACTACACTGAATACGATAATACGATGATGATGATGCTGATTTCGATGACGATGATGATGATGATGATGATGATGATGGTGATGATGGTGATGATGATTGCTATGGTGCTGCTGCTGATGATGATGACGATTACGATGCTGATGCTGACGATGATGACGACGATGACGATGCGGGTTATAAGTAATGAATGATGACGGCGACGATGCTGACGACGATGATGACGACGATGCTGATGCTGATGCTGATGATGACGATGCCGATGATGGTGGTGATGATGAGTGATCATGATCATGGTGTTTATGATGGTGAGGATGGTGATGCGGAGGAAGGAGAGAGAAGATGAGGACGAAGACGAGGTTAGTAACGGGAGGAAGCGAGCCTTGCGCGATAAGACACAGTGACCTCCCGCCGCTTACGCGGGCCGCCAGCGTGTCACACCGCGTGGAGACGAGGGCGCTTACCCGCGGCCATGCGCGGGAAACTTGCGCGTGAATGTCCACCGTGCGCGGGCAACCGACGCTGTAGTGGAACTGGAGGACGAGGAGGCTCCGCCACCTGGCCAGGCTGAGTTCGAAGCCCCCCGCGAGAGGGCCACCACGAACTCTTGATGGAGACGGGAAGTGGACGACGAAGTAGGACGCGAACCAGACACCCAGAGCCAAACTGAAGGGGCCCTGGGACACACAAATGAATACACACAAATAAAAGGATTCCCCATATTTTCTCATATTTTCTGGGTTTCTGTTTTCCCCCCCACTTCCCATAGTTTCCCATCTTTTCTTGGGAATCGACGAATAATTGTGTCTGTGTGTTTTTTCCCCTCCGGACAAACCCCCGCTGCGCCCACCTCGGATCCAGGATCGGTGGAGACGCCAGCGTGCCATGGCCAGCAGGGCGTGTACACCGAACATGGGCCCGAGGGCCAGCCTGGATGGGGTCGGGGTCCGTGGAGAGTGGGGGGAGGAGGAGGACCAGTGCAAGCCCAGGGGGCGTCAACGATGTTACAGTAAAGCCGCCCTCCAGGTTCCCTCCTCACAGGTCCCTACAAACACTCATAGAAATGCACCCCACACCCCTCGGAAGAGAATCGTCGGAGAATCCCCAATCGTACAAAGACATCATCCTTGGGACTTCAACGCCGGGAATCGACGTTACTGTTGCACCCTCACAGCCCTACATCGTGTCAGAACACAACTCCTGGAACGTCAACACAACGAAACAACGTGACTCCTGCCTCCTGGCAGCTCCAAGTCGTGCCGAAACACTGCTCCTGTGACTTCAACCAACCGAGTACTTGAAACTGCTGTGCACTTTAGAGACGACTGTGCGCGGCGCCAAGGCGAGAGCCACATGTTGAAAAGAAAATGCCCTCCATCCTCGAAACTGTCACAAACTTGAGAGACGAGTGAACGGGGTACTAAGACGAGAAGAGCATATTGAAAACCTGCCGCCCTCTAATCTTGAAACTGATGCGAACGTCAAGATACGCGTGTGCGGATTTAAAGCGAGATCCAAATGTTGGAAAAGGCACCACCTTCCACCCTTGAAGATGCTGCACAACTGTTACAGCGAATGTGCGCGGCACTGAATGAAGGGGAATTGGAACACACAAATAAATACACACAAATAAACATATCCCCCATATTTTCCCATATTTTCGGGGTTTTTGTCTTCCCCCCCACTTCCCATATTTTCCCATATTTTCTGGGGGATCGAGGATTAATTGTGTCTGTGTGTTTCTTTTCCTCCTGACTGAAGCGAGACTCACACTTTGCAAGCCAACCGAGCTCAATCCTTGAAACTGTTGCGACTTTCAGGCTTCAGAATCATAAGTGGTGGTGGTGTCTCAGGCGAAACGCCCGGCCGGCCCTACCGACACGTTTGGGGGTTCGAGGGAGGAGTCATCTAGTAAGGGGAGTCGATAAAGAGATGGAGGAAGAGGAGGAGGAGGAGGAGGAGGAGGAGGAGGAGGAGGAGGAGAAGGAACAGGAGAAGTGGGAGGAGGGGGACCATCCCCAAATCAATCGAAATCCCCCCTTTCGTCTTCCCTCCTCCTCCGCCTCCTCCTCCTTCTCCTCCAGGCGGGAGATAGGAGGGAGGTTGAGGACGACTTGGGCACCGTTCGAAGGATGCACGCCCCCGACCGTGGAGAGGACGACCGCGTTCAACGTGCCCCCAAAAACAGTTGGGTGGGAACCGACGGCAATAGGGGAAGAGGGGGTCCTCGAGCTCCTCCTCCTCCTCCTCCTCCTCCTCCTCCTTCTCCTCCTCCTCCTCCTCCTCCTCCTCCCTGCCCGTGAGGAGGATGGGGGGAGGGGAAGGACGGGGAGGGAAAGGGGGGCAGGGGTCGGGGGCGCCACCTGTCCACCCACGCCATTCCTGGGCGTGCCCAGATTCAGGCTCGGCGGATGCGTCCGTCCATGCGCCCTCCCAGCCAGGCCAGGGCGGTACGCTCACAACCACGCAGAACCACACATAACCACATACAACCACAAGCACACACATACATGCACACGCACACACAAGCACGCACGCACTCACACAAACACACACGCACACGTGCCCACACGCCCACACACGCGCACACACACACACACACATGTACACACGTCCACGCGCGCACACACGCACACACACTCCCACCACCCCACCACCCACCCACCCACCCACCCACCCACCCACACACACACACACACACTCACACACTCACACACACCAAGCTGGGGCTAGGACTGAGACAACAGCGGATCAAGACAATTCGGGGATATCTGAAATCCGGCGGTTCTGGAAGATATGTGAGGCGTCGCGGCCGTTCCAGAGTGCCACAAGTCCCTCCAGAACGCTCTGAGCGCGCTCCGCAACGTACTGGAACGACGCATCCAGGTCCTAGCCTTACTTATGTCGGGCGTGTCTCCCTACAGGGGGATTTTCGACGAAAAATGAAAATACCCCAAACATACTCCAAACATGCAAAAAATACTCAAGAAATGTACCCAGACCATGCTTGAACTATTTTGTTGATTATTTTGGGGGTATTTTTTTTATTTTTCGTCGAAAATCCCCCTGTAGGGGGACAGGCCCGACTTAATCCTAGCCCAGCCCGACACCTCCTCTCCCATCTAGCGCTGGCCAGGTTAAAGGGGGGGTGAAATGTGAAGGTGAATAGTCCTGGCTCCGAAGAGGCCCCGCGGGGGGGCAGAACGCTGAAAAATGCATCATTGCCGCCAGCGAAGCCTACTCACTGCGGTCCTCCACTGCGCGGGCCCACTGCCGGAGCCCTGCCTGCGTCGCATCGTATCGTAATGTGTCCTCACATTTCATCCAGCCCCGTCTCGGGGATCTTCTGACCCGGGTCAACCCAGACCCGGGTCAGCAGGAAACCAAAAACTGCAATGCAGGAAAAAAGAACTGCAACGCAGGTCTTCGCAAACCCGGGTCAGCCGATATGCGCGGCCGCCTCGCGGCCACGAGCGGCTCCCTAACCCGGGTCAGCCAGAGGGGGTCTTCGCAGGATCCTGCAGGATCTGGCGCCCTGGCTGCTCCCCGTCTGCATTGACCCCCGTCTCAGGGCTCCCGACCGTCTGGATGGCCGCTTCTCCCGGGTGCTTTCGTTCCGCATGGCATCTGTCCAGCCACTGTCTCTCCAGAAGGCCGCGCGCCGCGCCCACGACGACGCTGGCATTCTGGCCGCGTGCCCTGCCCCAAGCCACTTCTGCCTCGCCTGCGTTTGCACCCAAGCCCGTATTGCCAGCGCGATCGGCCAGCACCCTGCTTTCGTGCGTCGTACGAGTGCTCCACTCGTGCCACGCCTCATCTGGTGCTCGTCAGGTTAAGGGGGGGCTGGCATCCAAGAGGGAAGGGGGGTGGGGGCGGGGGGATTCTGCCGGGGGCCACGCCGCGCACACCGCGAGGCCACCCTGACGAAAGCCGAGGCCGACACTGACTCGGCATGGAGTCCGCGAGGAGGGAGGAGAGGGACGCGGAGGAGGGAGGAGAAGGGAGGAGGAGGAGGAGGAGGAGGAGGAGGAGGAGGAGGAGGAGGAGGAGGAGCTGGAGGAGCTGGAGGAATCGAAGCTGGGGCGAGGGGGACCAGGCCTCAGCCACTACACATGATCTGTTTCACGCCGTGGACCTTGGACCTCGCGACACTGCCCCCAGGACCTTCTTGTCATCCCGAGTCACTTCTGGTCGGGGATCTTCTGACCCGGGTCAGCAGGAAACCAAAAACTGAAATGCAGGAAACAAAAACCTGCAACGCAGGTCTTCGCAAACCCGGGTCAGCCGATATGCGCGGCCGCCTCGCGGCCACGAGCGGCTCGCTAACCCGGGTCAGCCAGAGGGAGTCTTCGCAGGATCCTGCAGGATCCGGTGCCGTGGCTGACCCCCGTTTGCATTGACCCCCGTCTCAAGACTCCCGATCTGGGAGTCCTAGGCAGGGGGCCGGTGAGGGCCCACGGGGGCCGAACGGTGGCCCAGCCATCTTGCGGTCGGGGTCTGGCATCGACGGCAAAAAATCATCCCCCGGACCCATCCTGGGGTGGGTTCGGGCCAGGATCTCGGGCCCGCTCCAGTCGAGGCGACGAAGAGCCCCAAAAGGCTCCATGAGAGCGGGACCGCGTCCTGAAATCCTGAAGTCCAAGGAGGGCCGGTGGCGAGCTCGGTGGCGAAGTGAACGGGGGCTGGGCGTTCTAAAAGGCTCGGAAGTCCCCCAGCCTTCCGAGAAGCTTCCTGAGCCTTCCCCGAAGACATAGACAACTTCTCAGAAGGCCCGAGGCTTTCTGAGAAGTCCCGCCGCCTTCTGAAAAGGCTTTCTCCTTCTGGGGCCAGGGGCACACACGCAGAAATAGACGCATCTCCCAGAATTCCCCCCCCCCACACACACATGTGTTGTGTTCACGTATGTTCTTGACGAACGAACAACACGCACCCATACCCGCAGGGGGGTCGTTGGGAGGAGGACTGGCTATGGGTATGGGTGCGGGTTGTCGGGCCCTGGGGAACGCTCCCGTTCGAGCGGGGACCCCCATCCGACAACACGCACCCATAGCCCTCTCGGATCCCCCTATGGGTATGGGTGTGTGTTGTTGGTTCGTCAGTTCTGGGTTTTCGTCTTCCCCCCACACCCCACAGGTCCCCAACTTTCCTGGGAGTCGGCGTTTCTTTGCGCCTGCGTGTGGCTCCCCCTCCGGAATTGCCCCGCCTCGCTCGCCGCCGCCGCCGCCGCAGTCGTCGTCGCGGCCGCCATCGTCGCCGAGGATGAGGATGAGGAGGAGGAGGAGGAGGAGGAGAATGAGGAGAAGAAGAAGGAGGAAGAGGAGGAGAAGCAGGAGGATGTGTGGAGGGAGGAGGAGGAGGGGGAGAGAAGGATAGGAGGAGGGGAGGAGGAGATAGGAGGAGGAGAGGAGGGAGTCGTCGTTCGTCGTCGTCGTCGTCGTCGTCGTCGTCGTCGTCGTCGTCGTCGTCGTCGTCGTCGTCGTCGTCGTCGTCGTCGCCGTTCTGCGATCCCCTGCGCGACAGCGCGCAGGGAGCGCCCAGGGGATCGCCGAACGACGGGGGCGGCAGGGAGGCAGCCTGCCGCCCGTTGAGGGCCTGCATGGCCTGCCGGCGCGGGAGGGGAGGCTGAGCAGCGGTCGGTGGGCTCCTTTTTCTCCTCCTCCTCGTCCTCCTCACCCTCCTCCTCCTCCTCCTCCTCCTCCTCCTCCTCCTCCTCCTCCTCCTCCTCCTCTCCTCCTCCTCCTCCTCCTCCCTCCTCCTCCTCGTCTCCTCCTCCTCCTCCTCTTCCTCCTCCTCCTCCTCGTCCTCCTCCTCCTCCTCTTCCCTCCTCCTCCTCCTCCTCCTCCTCCTCCTCTCCTCCTCCTCCTCCCTCCTCCTTCTCCTCCTCCTCTTCGTCCTGCTCTTACGCCTCCTCGTCCTCCTCTTACTCCTCCTCGTCCTCCTCCTCCTCCTCCTCCTTCTCCTCCTACCCTCTTCTCCTCCTCCCTCTTCCTCCACCCCCTCCTCCCTCTTCCTCGTCCTTCTCCTCCTCCTCTTCGGCGTCCTCGTCCTCGTCCGCGTTCCTCCTCCTCCTCCTTGTCCGCTTCCATCTCCTCCCTCCTCCTCCTCCTCCTCCTCCTCCTCCTCCTCCTCCTCCTCATGTTCCTGCTCCTCGTCCTCCACCTCCTCGTCCTCCTCGTCTTTCCACCGTTCCTCGCAGAGGAACCGAAAACCGCATAACGCGAACAAAACTCGAACTAAACAATGTGTGTACGTGATCCTCAGGTTGTTGTGTTTTCCTTCTCGCTCTGTGTCCGTTATGCCTTCGCTGCGAAACGGGATCAACACGAAAACGGTCTACGACATCGCCAAAACACCATTCAGCTCGGGCCCTGAACTCGAGAAGGAGATGGATTACAGGAGTGGTTGTTCCCCAGAATTGTTCTCCATAGTTGGTTTTCCCCATATTGGTTCTCCCCAGGATTAGTGTTCCAAGGAGAAGTGTGGGCAACGTCACCCCCTTCTCGTTCCTTCCTCCCGCCTCCCTCCCTCCTTCCTCCCCGCCTCCTCCCCCCCTCGACCCCCTCTCTTTCCTGTTTAGTCGTCTTCTCCCTCATCGAGACCTCGCGGGCCCTGCGGGGCTGCGAACCGCGCAACTGTCGCCATTTTCGTGGGCACCTGGGAGGTCCAATGGAACGGAAATCCCCGCAAGTCAGCCGAGACCTCGCGGCTCCCTGCGGGATTGCGAGCCACGCATCTGTCGCCATTTTCGTGTGCTCCTGGGACGTTCAGCGCAGTGGAGGTCCCCGCAAGTCAGCCGAGACCTCGCGGCTTTCTGCGGGGTTGCGAACCGCGCAACTGCCGCCATGTTCGTGGGCTCCTGAGAGGTCCAGCGACCAGCGCAATGAAAATCCACGCAGATCTGCCGAGACCTCGCGGCGCCCTGCAAATTTGCGAACCGCGCATCTGTCAGAATTTTCGTGGGCTTCTGGGAGGTCCAGTGGAATAGTGATCCACGCAGATCGTGGGCTCCTGGGAGGTCCACCGCAGTGGAGGTCCCCGCAAGTCAGCCGAGACCTCGCGGCTCCCTGCGGGGTTCCGAGCAGGGCAATTGTCGCCATGTTCGTGGGCTCCTGGGACGTCCAACGGGATGGAGGTCCACGCATGTCGGCCGAAACATCGTGGCTCCCTGCGGGGTTGCGAACCGCACAATTGTCGCAAGTTTGGTGGGCTCGTGGGAGGTCCAGCGGAATGGAAATCAACGCAGACTCAACCAAGACCTCGCGGCTCTTTGCTGGGTTGCGGAACCGTGCAACTTTTTTGTTTTGCCACCAGGTGGTACTGCACGCAACATCTGACACTTAGGTGCAAAGCGCATGCCGATCCAGCGTCTCAATGGTGAGAAGAAGGAGGGCATGAAGTGCACAGCGGGAAGGCTCTGACAAGGCGGGCGAATCAAGCAGCACCAACGCTGAAGTGATGGCAGATGTACTAGCAGGGCCAGTACACTCGCTCAGCCCCAAACCGTAGCCATTCAGGTCGTCGTGCTTAACATGTGCTGGTGGTGGTGCTTGCTCGTCAAGGAACTGGTTGAGGCCTGCGAGGGCCTGCAACAAGCGATCCAAGTCCAACGGCCGCGACTGCTGAAATGACGGATGCCTGCGAAGGCCATCGACAGAACGTCAAGCAGCGAGTCCCGCTGGCTGGAGCTAGCTGGTTACGCACGCGCGAGTTTCCCTTTTGTGGGTCTTGCCTTGTTTCACAATTCTTCCTCCTTGAACTGCGTCCTGCCGGCGTCAGTCTTGGTTATTTCGGCCACGCTCGCAGGTCAGGCTGGTCGCATGTCGCCGATCTGCCTGCAATGCCTTGCATTGCCCATCATATGGTCAGCGTCTTCCTCGTTCTCGTCGTCCTCCTCTTCCTCTGTCGCTCTCTCGCTCTCTCTCTCTCTCTCGCTCTGTCTGTCTGTCTCGCCTGGCTCGCTGTGACTTTGCGGATGTTGACGTCTACGTAAGGTATTCAACGATATTGTCTTCTTTCAATATTTCTACGTCCTGTCCCTGCCATGCACGTACTGCTACGCCGTGATCGCACACTTGGCAATGGTTGGTTGCGGAACCGTGCAACTGTCGCCCATGTCGTGGGCTCCTGGGAGGTCTAGCAGATGGAGGTACACGCGGACTCAGCCTAGACCTTGCAGCTCCCTAGGTGGCTGCGAAGTGCGCGTCTTTCATTATGTTCGTTTGTATTGAACGGTCCTTAATATAATTGCCCCGTGTTGCAAAAAGGTTGTGTACGTCACCTGGTACTTTTGTCCCGTCGATTCTGTGGCAACTTTCGTAGGACGCCCCGTAGATCTACGGAACCTTCAGCGCAGTTGTCGTAGATTCGACGGGAAATGCACATTCGGGGCAAACCAGTTTCGATCCCCGTGTCGAGTGAACAGAAGCATTTGGAGGCGTGGGCATCATATCCACGGCAACGGGGAGTCCTCCCCGCGAGGCATCGTGCTGGTGCCTTCTGGTTTGGCGACGGAGCGCGACGATCCTGTACCGAGGTGGGGCCCGTCGCTAAGGCACGCGCCTAGGTTGTCCAGATTGGTGTTTGCGATTCCTTGCCATTCAGAAGAGGGCCTCCCCCTACTCCTGCCCTCGCCCTCCTCCGCCTCCCCCCTCGCCCCGCGAGGGCGAGAGGACGTCGTCGTCAGCGTCGCCGCCGCGGCTGTCATCGTCGGCAGAGGCCCCCATTGGCAAATCGCGGCGGGAGGAGAAATATTCATACGTATTTCCCGATTCCTCTTTCGCCCTCCTTCCTGCCCACTACGCCTCCTAATCCTGTTTCCCCCTCTCGAGTGAAACGTAAAGAGCGAATTGATGGGGGAACGAACGAAGGTTACAAGGTAGTGGCCTTGAAGGGCCCATCAAACGCCATGCCCTCTAACAAAAAACAATTGGAAAAGGCACGCCTGCCTTACAGTCCGGCCGATTCTGCTGCTCCTCCTCCTCCTCCTCTTCCTCGTTCTCCTCCTCCTCCTCCTCCTCCTCCTCCTCCTCCTCCTCCTCCTCCTCCTCCTCTAGGCCCGGAGGAATCGAACCATCTTCTTCTGCAAAACGAACATCGCCGTCCTGTGGTGTTGCTGCGTTTCTGCGCCTTGCACGAGGCCTCTCCAATCACCAGCTCGGGGAGGCAGCGTGGACCTCCACGCCTGGGGTTAGGGGTGGCAGCAGACGACCACAACCACATCGTGGGCACACTTTGGAGAATGTCTCTCGAGGGGCCCAAGGACACACACACACATAAATACACACAAAGGAACATATTTTCTAATATTTTCTGGGTTTTGTCTTCCCGCCCAATTCCCATATTTCCCATCTTTTCTTGGGGATCGGCGATTAATTGTGTCTGTGTTTTTTCCCGCCTGAATCTTGCGCATGCGAAGAACTGTCGGAACACCGAAACCAGCTTCGTACCCAATTGTGGTCGATGTGGCCGTCCTGGGACGGCCACATCGACCACAACCACGACCCCAAATGTCTCGTGTCGAGGTCGGTGGGCTTTCCCTTAACAGGCTCTTCGGAAACATCGTCTTAGGTATGGTTGTGGTTCGTTGTTGTGCTCGGAGGTGTGGCCTGGCTGGCGTCGGCTCAACGTGAAGGTGCATTTCAGTGCGCTGAGGGTGGATGGGGTGAGCCCAACCCAAAAGCAGTACCTTCGGGCGCCGCCACGAGCGCGTTAACGGCACGCACAAGGGGGTGGAGGGAGGGGGAAGGGTTTCTTTAAAGGAGGCTGCTTCTTAGAAGGCGCCGGCCTTACATATATATATATATATATATGTATAGAGAGATAAGCCCGCGCCTTCTAAGAAGCAGGGGTGCTTGAAGCCCTCCCCCCTCCCCCCACCCCCCTCTGCGCGTGGCTGAGCGCTGGAGGAGCGCCCTCAAGGCGCTGGCCCAGCACCAACGGCCACCCCCAGAGATCCGACGTCTTGATTTCTTCAACGCGCGGCCCCCGAAGTCCTGACCCGTTCTTGGCGGTGCGCAAAAGGGGGTAGGGGGAGGGGGGAAGGCTTCTTAGAAGCACCCTGCTTCTTAGAAGTCCTCGGCCTTACGTCTATAGAGAAGACCCGCGCCTTCTAACAAGCAGGGGTGCTTCTAAGAAGCCTTCCCCCCTCCCCCTACCCCCCTCTGCGCGTTGCCGACTTTCCCCAGGACCAGTTTTTCATCCCGAGTCGTTCTTTGACGGCCCCGGGGCCCGGCGAGGGCCCCTCGGGGCCGAACTCTAGGAAAAACCAGCGTCTTGATGTCTTCGATGAGCTGGATCTCTGGGCCGCCAGAATCGGGGAGACGCAAGACTCGGGTACGGGGGACTCGGGTTGGCCTGACGGGGCCATCCTAAGAATGACGAGACCAAACCTGAAATTTGGCGCGAACTCCCGCTGCAGACATCCCACGAACATTGGACCGTCAAAATCCAAGACGCGCTCGTCCAAAACACCGACTTTGATCGAGCCGCTCAGATGGTGGTAGTGGGATTTAGATAAACGGCCCCAAATTAGACAAATACGTGTTTGAACTTAGTAAGCCGGCTTCTGCGTTTACTGAATGATGTTTGTCTTATCTAGGTCC